AATTTGATAAACATGTATATTTCAAGTTGGCGGACTACTTTAGTGATTATTGCATGAGTGGCTGCGAACGAGGCTGCAGGATTCCATGACGTACTGGAACAAACGTAGCATGTAATACTTGGACTAAAAACAAACATGTAATAATATTGGACTTTGAAATCGTATTTGTGGGTTTTAGTGTAGTTTAATATTCTTGCTCCAGTATATCATCTCACCCGCCATTTCATTCAGTCTAAAAACTTATATAGTCATCACTAATATATTCAAATATGTATACCCGCCATTTTATCTTGTCTATTCACTGAAATATATGGGGGAACATGAAACCGTCGAATAGCGAGACGGATAGGTCCCGGGGACGTCACTCTATATGCCGTTACTACCCCATGTGCGTTCCAAATTTAGCGGGAAAAGGGGGTGTTTTTCACCTTCTAAAGCGGGCCCGCGCAGGAGGCAAATAGGTTCCCTTTAAAATTCTAATGTCTGCAATAAGCCCCCAGGAATAAACTCACAGGGTTGATGTTCCCTCTGTAGGCCCCTCGTGCAACAACCCCTCCCAAGCACCACCCTACTGTATCCATAGCTTGTTTTAGTTGATCACATCCTACTTGAGTGAAAAAAACGGCAGAGAATGCTGGCAATAGGAGTAGGATGTTCTCAATATATATTTTTTTTCTTCAAATTGTCTGCTCTAGGGGGTACTAAATTTACAGTGCGTCCGCAATAGGCGTATGGTTTGGCAATGTGCTGCCTATTATTTTTTTAGCAAAAACGCACATGGTGTAAGGTTTTAATATAGAGTGACCCCCCGGGGGTACATATCTTTGAAAAAAACATTCTTGGTAGCTTCAGTATGTGTGGACGCTTTTTGGTCATCATTTGCATATTTTTGAAACCCTGTAGTACAAAGTACTTTTTCAAATGAACACAGATTTGGGGGAAAAGGTTAAAGCGGGAAGGTCGTCACCTGCGCACGCGCGGGAATCGAGTCCCAAGCGACGATAACAACACACGCTAAAAACGCAAACGCTCATGGGTAGACGCTTGTTTGTAAACAGTGACACGCTATGGCCATCTGACGCATGCGCAGGTGACGAATCCCCCGCTTTAAGATGACCATGGAGTTCATATGCAAACAGCGCATTTAATGACGTGTAATTTTTGACGACGGCGTAAGAAAAAAATATGACATAACTTCCAAGCCAACGAAGTCGATTTAATATTACCCACATTTCATTGCAAGTCGATTTTTCAAAAGATTCGTACAGGATAGGAGTAAGATGATAGTTACGTCACCAGTAAACGTATTACCCCCATGGTATTACGACATGAGTTTGTCTGAAAGCATTTGAGCGTAATTTGAGCGTAAATTTATTTAAATAAGAAAATAAATAAATTAACCATTACTCGTGTGCTTTTGTTAAAACCCAATGTTTACGACTCACATTGCGTAAATTTTCATATATAACAAAAGTGCAGTTGCGTATATGACGTAATAATAATCACGTGGGATTTTAGGGGAAGGCACATGCCCGCACAAAAAATTGATAAACCCACGCCAATAGGAGGCCCCCTCCCCACCTTACCAAATTTCTGGATCCGCCATTGAAAGTGGCGTTAACGTCGTTAAAACTAGGCGAATTAAGTTTTGGGATCGCCAGAACTGTAGAAAGGTCGTTGATTTGGTGGTAGCAGAGAAAATAATTTTGAAAAAAAAAAACTTACAATGAAATGACAGCAAAATTTTACAGAATGATAAGAAAATCATCCTGAAAAAACAAACACAACTAAATAAA